AAAAGAAACTTTAAGCCAGAAAATACATTTCCAAGTTGCAGTTCCACATTAGACAGAGAAAGTGTTAATGTATTAGAACATGCTACCCAAGGAAACAGTGGAACCCTGGGGGGTTTTCAAGAAACATGCAGGCATGGCACTGAGGGACATGGTTTAGTGGGCATAGTGGTGAGGGGTTGATGGATAAACTAGATGATCCTGCTAGTCTTTTCCACTCTTAATGGTTCTGTGACATTACCACCCTTAGCTTGTATTCTGGTTTTTAGTCAATGGCAGTAGAAACTAAGCTAATATAATTAGGATTGAGAGTTAAGGCTAAGTTACTCATTTATGAGGAAAAAAATAAGTAATACTCCCAGCATGTACACTCCACTGGTGACCTTAAAGTAAATTCTGCAAGAGAATTCCTGTTGCATCTGTGAAGTTCTTCCAAATTTACATGCTGTGGTTTGCTCTTACTGCAGATAAGTGAGTCTTGGCTCACCTTCCTCTGGGGGAACTAGACAGTACGTCCTTGTCTTACCACTCATACACAAAGTCTGGAGAAACAAAACGAATATAAAGCATGACACTCTACTGATGAAGGAACACTTGTCCTATAATAAGCTTCAGTCAGGCTGGAACCTTCACTCACAGGGAACACAATATTTTTGCTAATATCAGCAGCTTTCAAAAAACAGAACTGAAATTGAGCACAAACAAGTTTCACAGATCCAGTACAACATGTTGATTTCTGCTGAAGGGTGCCCTCATCACAGCCAGAGACAGTGCTTTACCCAGGGCAGACGCTGGGTAACCCAACCAGCCAGGTAACAGCTCAAGTTTACTGATCCCAGATTTCCTCGTTGTATGGAGAATAACCTGAACACACATGTGCTTTCTGCCCTGTTTAATAAAACATGATCAGATCAAGAAGTTGGCAAAGCAAAGGAACTACACTTCATTTGGTCGTAGCCAGCAGGCCGAGCAGTTGAGAAGCACGGGCACAACACTGTTCCAAACAAATCTCTGACAACCTTCAGTTCATCTTTTTTTTTCTTACTACAACATTCATGGCCTTCATTGTGCTCAACCTCAGAAGCAATACTGTATGTGCAAGCAGAAAGTAAGATAAATGCACCCCTTCATTTTTTGCTTCATCTTGTCAATGCAGTTCTTCATAGGCCTTAATCTTTTGCCATGCTGGGCATTTTCAGGAACAGCTCCTGCACTGTTGCTGATTGAGATGAGGAGTTACTCTGTAGATGAACCATAGAATCCAAGATTCAAACAGAGGGGAGGATTTGCACAGCACCAGACTCCTCTCCCACTTGAGTCATTTAATTTCAACAAACTCCAGATATAGTAATGTCTGTTCATTAAAGTGATCACTAATTCAAGTCTAGCAACTAGCACAAGTTCAACAATATCTTCAGTACAGTTTTGTATGCAGTAGCTCCACCAAGGTACAATCCCTTAAGTAGATAGCTCTCCGTATTCTGTCTATATCATTTGTCTTGGCCATCTCACTCTCCCTCAAGATGTTCTAAAAGCCACTGATCCAGGATGTGTCAGCTTTGAAATATTATTTAATTACTGGTGGCAGAGACGAAGCTCATTCTCTGCTCAGCTCCGGGAAGCTAACGTCAGCTGCTCACGTCTAGAAGGAAGAGCACACTTCATTCATCATAACTGGGTTGAGCCTAAAACCAATTAAAAGTCAATTTGACAACTATCTGTGACAAGCTGGCAAAAAGGCTGGTCAAGTTCAGGCAAAGTTGTCCTCTAGCATCTTCTGGAGAATCCTCCAGCTTCCCTTTGAGCTTGTAAAGATGCAGAGGGACAGAAGTTGCTCTGCCATTACATCCACCACTGAGCTGTGACACAACCCAGCCTCTGGATGGCCAAAAGCTGAATGAAAGAAACACGCACATTAATTACCCAGTTACAACAGCCACATGGAAGAGAAATGCAGAGGTTAAAAATCCAGGAACCATGGATTGTTTTCCACTTGCTGGTTACTCTAATTACTGAAGCTTTCAGTGGTGTAAGATACCAGACTGGAGCAGATTTCTCCCACTAGAAGCAGCTGTGACTACCATTGGGTATGATTAAGCTGATTTCAGTGGTGTTGGCAGTAGTACACTGACAGTCATCCTTTGAATCCCATTAGATTGGAAACAGTGACACCAGTCTGTCACACTGAATGCATCTTCCCCACGCAGTGAGTGGAACTGTTCACACAGTAGATCAGAAAAGCTACTCAGACTTACAGGTAGGCCCTTCCAGCTTAGAGAGTCCACGCTTAACATGCTTAGAAGTGCTGGAAATACAGATCTACCATTGAACAACACGCTTACATATACATACAACTTGAGATTTATTCACTGGTCTTTAAGCCTTCTCTTTACATCTCCCCATTCTTCCCTGGGAAATTGGAACAGTAACAGCATTGCAATAAGCTTAAACCCTCCAGGATGCAAAAAACACTTAGTTGTAGTCTTGGTTGCTCACGAACAGAGTTTGTTCTAGGAGGCCAACAAGCTCATGAAGAGTTCTGAACTTGTGCTTTATCACGTAGGGTGGAGCTGAGAAGTTTCCAGCTTTGGATTCCTGGTTGGCTTCCAGACTATTCAAATGGTTATAAAAACTTCAGTTTATCAAAAGCTAAAAACTGGCCAGCATTTCTAGAGTCATCTGAAAACATCTATAGCAGAGATAGTTATTTCATTCCTACACCAACAGTGAGCAAGAAAATGAAGCACAATAAGGGCACTTACATAACCATACTAGGAAAGAACTAGAAGAGATGCTGGACAGTCAAAACAGAAATAAGGAGCAAGTTTTTATTTGATATTTGTCACTTGGCATGTTTCCTCTCATTTTCCAAGCTGCAGATGGATATGCAATATTAATGAACCAAACTCTGCCACTGGAGATAAACAGTGGTGTTGTTTTCATTTATGCAGTGCTTTCACCCTGACCACACTAATTTAAACAGAGGGAAAGCTCCTAGAACATGAAAGATCCATGCAGGTCATCAGGGACACACGAATTACCAAAATTCTAGTAGGCAGAATGAAGTTGCAATCCACAATCAAGGCAGTTTATTGTCAGTTAGGTTAAGGATCCTTTGAGATATTTAGAAATACCTCCAGACTCCTTCCAGAGCCACCCAGACAATGAGCCTGTTGACCAAACGCTTCCGAAAGAGGCTGAAGTTCAGGGAACAGTGTGGCTATTATTGCACCAATGTTAAATTTAGGCATTAATTACAATTAGTTACTCAGTAACCAGCCTTCACACAAAACTGGAACTGATTTCTTTAGGAAGTGTTAATTTAGGAGCATAGTTGATGGAAAAAAAGAAAGCTGCTAAGCATAGCTCAGGGAAATGCTATGCAGTGTTGGGCAGCTGGAACAAGCTGAAGGTTTGTGGCATGATGAACCACTGGTTCAGCAGTTTGCTGTTAAGGCAGCTTATTTTTCACACTAAATATATCTTCTCTATCACTTGCACAGAGGTAAGGAGCTAAAAAAGTAATCTGTTTGAGGAGAACAGAGGTAAGTTTATATTGTACATCATAGCATTAAGGTCTTCCCCAACCTTTATGATTGTGGTTCCCCAGTCATTAAATTACAGTTTTAGAAAACATAGTAGCAATTACATCAAGATGTGAGCAGGCTAATGACATTTCCCCCCCCATTTCTCTATTTCTTCATTTTCCTATCCTTCTCTCATTTATCTCAGGATAGTTAATAGCAATTGGATACACCACGCTTTGTTAGTACATTCAACTCACAGCTACCCAATTTGCCTTGTTTTGCATTGCTTTCATACTGGTTCCCCCTAGTTTCATCACTGCTTAATTTTTACTGTTTATCAGATTTGTTCAACTTGTGGCTTTGCACAGCTCCTGCTGTTATAGGATATTGAGGATAGTAAATTGAATACACTTATTGTTTAATCTTGCTGCATTCCCTGGGTTATTGCAGTGGATGAGTCCAACTGCAAGGCCCTGCAGATCAGGGAAACTCCTCACACAGAGGGAATAAAGGAAACTCACCTTCCTCACAACTCAAAGAGCAGGATGAGACACTGAAGCATTCCTCCTATGATGAAAGACTGAGAGCTGGGACTGCTTATCCTGGAGAAGAGAAGGCTTAGGGAGAAATCAGTGTCCATACATACCTGAAGGGAGGCCACAAAGAGGACAGAGCCCAACTCTTGGCAGGTTTGCCTGGTGCCAGGCAAAGAGGCAATGGGCACAAACTGGAACACAGGAGGTTCACTCTGACCATCAGGAAGCACTTCTGTACTGCACTGAGTACTGGCTGCCTAAAGAGCATCCACCATACAGCTGCATACTGAGATTTTTGAACAGACCACATCTGGATGAACACTAACTGGCGAGGCAATATGAAAGCAAAGCAGCAAGATGGGCAGCTCAAGCAGCACTAACTGTAGGAGTAGGAAGGGTACAGGTAACTGTCAGGTCTTTTTTAGCTCATTGAAGGCATTAAGTGTTTTGACTTCAGCTGTGACAACCAACACGTACAACAGCCTGAGCCACACATTGGAAACAATCAGGTAACTCCTGCACCAAGAAGCCTAAGCCTTCTTTCTCTGTGCAGAGATGCTAAGCAGAACAAGAGCCAAGAAAGAGGGCAAGAACAAATCCACATCAAGAGACTCCCACAAATAAGTTTCAGACAGCAAACAGGACATGTGCATTGGATATGTTAGCAGTGAAACTAATTGCACATTTGTTTTGGGTTATTTTATTTTGAACCTTTGGGAATTAGCTGGCTGGCCACACTACTCCAAGGAGCAATAGTTCAAACTGCCAAATCACTCCTGTGGGAGTACCTAGAGCCAGACTGCACAGTCCAGTGTACTTGCCCAGATATTCCCCTTGTGAAAGGGGAGGAGGATTTTTACCCTACATGCATGCCTTCTCCCACCTCACAAAAAGAAAAAACCAAAAAACAAATAACACCACACAACCTCAAATCTGTTACCTGGAAGCAAAGATTCAGGACTGAGCCTTCTTTAATGTTCTTTTCCTCCCATCTCTAGCCCCAGATGATCATAGGTAAGTTGTAGGTTAAACAGCATTCAGACCGAGTTTATTCTCAAAGACTGCTTATTGCATGTAAGTGATGACAGGAAATGTTCTGCAGGCAACACTTGCTGGGTTAAGCCACCAATTTCTGGATGCAGTCCAGGAAGAGCGATCATATATTCAAGGACAGAATGCAGAAGATAAGCATGACATGCTTTTGTCAAAGAGCATTTTGGGTTCAGCCCCCAGTTAGATCATTTATTTATCTGGCACTAAAGGGTGATAATGGCTTGTTTTCAAGTCTCCAAAATAAATGAACTATACTTCAAGCAGAAGTAGTGCAGGCCAGCCAGCAGAGGAGAGAAAAACATGCAGGGTCAGCATAACACTGGTTTCAGTTTCAGCTATGAAAACATTAGAGCTCTCATTTAAAACAAGATGAGGAAGCTAGTTCTCTCTCTGCTCTAAGATTACCAGTTTTGCCCTCCCTGCAACACTGACAGTACTCACTTCAGACATCACTTATTCAGACAACCTGGGGTCATGCTTTCCTGTATCTGTTGTTGTTTACAAACAACTAACATTTTTAAGAGCATTTTCACCCTGCTCTTCAGGGCCAAGAAGTTTTATCTGCCTCCTCCTGTCTGCCTCACTACAGGAGCAGTGAGGAAAGGCCAATTTCAGTTCTGCAACGAGCACAGGTCTCACTCTACTGCAGACCCCAAGTCAGTCAGTCCTCAGTGCAAGGGAAACAGAGAGTCAAGCCAGCTGAAGTTATACCCTTGAAGGATGGAAGTCTTGGAAAGCAACTCTCCAGCTTTAATTGCATTTTTAGAGTTTCATTACTTGCCTACATTGTGGAGACAATCTTCCCATAACCATACACTGAAATTCATGCTTGAGTAAGCCACATGCCAGTGAGAGCTAACCTAAGGTCAGAAGCAGCTCCCATGCCAAACCAAATTATTACCAAATGAGAGCCTCGTGTCCCACAGCTTGCCAGGATCCCTTGCCAAAAGTTTGATGAGAAAACCTGGCTGCTTACCCTGAGTTGTTACAATGCAGTATGCCAGTTAAAAGTCTAATTGACTTTACAGCACTTGGAAATACCAACACTAAGGGGCTTTAGTTAAGCTCCCATGTGCCAGTTTCCCTAAGATGGCAGTTCACAGCACACAAACCACCTGGTGACTGTCACGCTCTGCACCACTGCTGGATGCCTGCAGATCAGCTTTTAACTTGAGACACATTCTGTCTCCTGTAACTGTCAGAGGTCTACATTTAATAGCAATAACTCAGCTTTTTAATGCTGAGTACTTTGTTCCACCCAGAAGAGCGAGCTATCATATAGAAGCAAAACAAAGCCACTTTATTCAGGATATCAGCAACTATTCAGTACTAAGATACAAGAGACAGCAGCCCTAGCTGGAGGATGCAATATTCTCCACCACCTGAAGTTTTGGGTGGTTGCTAAACATACTCTGAGCAGGGCTGTGACCCAAATGCACGATGTGTGGGTAGCTGATAAGCTGCAGACTGCAGAACAGTCATCTGACCAGCAGCAGCTTACTTTCTGCAAGCACAAAGTCTTCAGCTCACAACACAGACCTCTACAGCTTAACACCGCCTCCTTCCAGCCTCGGTTTGGGGCTGTCCAGGGCAATCCATATGGAAGGCAGTTCTCAGAGGGAAGCACCAGTGATGTGTCAAGCTCCACACATGGTGTCACTCATCCTGGCAACAGACATCCTGCTTCAATTCATTGGCAGCTGGGCCAGAATCATTTCTATTTTGTGCCTCTTCTTGGTGAGTTATATACACTGCTCTGCTAGGAAATTTACTGGATTTGTTAAAACAGTTTACTAGGCAGGAGTAACACTGCTTAAGAGTACTGTTTCAAACACTGTTTAGTGCTTATGTACTAAGCAAAACGTTGCACTCTGGATCACCATTTCTCCATGGAAGTGGTTTAGTAAGTCTGCCTACATGTTGCATGTGGAAGAACTGGGAGCTGTAGCACAATTATCAGTTTCAGCCTTCTCTAATGGAAAGAGCAGTACAGAATGCTATGCCACTGTCAGAATAGATCTGATTAATCTTATGCCTATAGATGGAATTGGTCACAGCATGGGATCTTGTACAACAGACCCCTGCAAGACCACATGCAGCACAGTGCTGTTTCTCATGCTACCAGTTACTCTGCAAGCTGCTAAAGCTTCCCCCTCCACCACTCAACAGCCTCACCACATCCACAGCAGTGTTCTCGGCTGATCAGCTGGGAAGTCCCACTTCAACCCAAGTTGCTGTGCCTCCTTTCCACACGCTTCTTACACCAACCATCCAGTTAGAGTGAGTCTGAACTGCAAGTGAAGCTTTTTTTTTTTTCTGTCTGAAGCATGACAACACCACTGCGTGTGCACTGTTGCTCAACACACATTGCCTGATAATTTGATGCAAGGATTCCAGGGTGGCTTTGAAATAGCAGAAGAGGTACAGACTGTTAGCTAAGCTCAAAAAACTGCCAGCTGCAGGTCCTTGTGATGAGAGATGTGAAGGATCTCACTGCTTCCACACAGCATGCAAGTAGAGGGGCAGCAATACATTCAGAAAACCAGCTTCAAAATCCAGGAATTGCAGCACGAGGTCATGTTCAACTAGGAATACCAGTAGTATATAATAGGCAGGATTTAAAGCTCAATCTAGACAAAAAAAATAATAATAATCAAGGACTAGTGCTTAAAAGCTGGCTATTGCTCAGTGCCTGCTGAAGGTACTGGTTGTCAGCTGGCAGGTCAGCTCAGCAGTCAGCTCCCACCTAAGCATTTAACAAGATGCCTCTCAAAGCAACAACATGTTTTCTAAGCTGCTCCACTGGCAACACACTTTAATATCAAGTTTTTTTTTTCGCCTCCCCCTCCAATCAGTTTCCCTAGTGAAATGCTACCTAATGTTTGTATTCTCACAGCTTTTAGGAATGACCCATTTAAAAAAGTTCATACTGAGGTAGAGCCTACACATTCCAGCCTCAGCAGACAAGCAGAGCCATATTAAATTACCAAGCCCTAACTTTCTAGCTGTCAGTGAAGCCAAGACTGAAGTGAGTTTAAAGGTAATTAACCTCTGAGATCACAGCCCTACAAGATGGGTCCAAACTCAGCTTTCTCTAAGCTCCTCAGAGCCTGAACAAGAATAAAGGCAGTAGCCTATATGAAGAGCTTTCCGGGGCAACACACATTCACCCTGGTGTACATTTACACCAATGAAGGACATGTGCAAAAGAGATCCTCCCATACACCACTGCACTGCTTTAAGTTGACAAGTGTGAAGTGTACACCAAGCGATTAAGAACATCTCAGCTCTGTGTTCTGCACTGCAGTGCAAGCAGCCCCCACAGCATCCAGACAAGATCACAGCAGCAGATAGTGCTCATTCCTCTCTCAAAGACCAACTCTCAAGAAGCAGCAGGCTTCTGCAGGAGTTCACACATTACGCAAGAGGGTTATCTCCAGAAGCATACGCTTTCAGTTATACTGGAAATGTCTCAGCTATATATATTTGAGCAAGGAAAGGATGACAGTTTTTGCAGTGAGACATGAGCCAGCTCATGTAAATTGGTCTCCACTGTTACAGTAGAAATAGATGTTCCACAGATCCCATTCATCACTGAAGTCAAACCTGGCATTAAGGACAGTTCTCATGAGAAAGTAACTATCTCGCTGATAGAGAAATAAAGCTCTCACAAGACAACAGATGCCACTACCTCTTACAGACAAGCTCACAGATAGTTTCAGACACTTTTAAGTGACTACAGGATGCAGCTTCAGCAGCTTAAGGTACTGTTACCTTGTGGCAAAAAAGAAAAGCCAAACACTTCTGGAAGTGTTTACAGACAGAGTGCCAACTAAATACCTTTATCTCTTATCTGAAACCACTTTCCCTTATTTAGGAGGGGAACATTTAGGCCTGTTGAACATTTCACCAACTCAGTACAATCATTAAACAAACCAAACAAGGAAGACCTTATCTTTTGCAATAATGTTGTGGGGGGAAAAGAAAAAAAAACAAAACAACACACACAAGCTCTGCAGGTCCTGCATTTAAACAGCAGAAGTGTCAGAGCAATCACATCAGCAACCACTCCTGCCAAGCATTTACTGAAAAGCTCAAGCTCTACAGGCAAGCAGCAAGTATTCACCAGTGCTTTCTTTGACCTCAAGCACCAGCTCGAGCCATGTTTCATTAAATATTTTAGTAGCACTGTCTGAACCAAGGCAGCAAAACATGACGCGGATCACACTGGAGCATTTTTTTTTTTAACAGAGCAGCAAGGATACACACTGTAACACTGATTTCTCCTTCTGAATTCTCAGAACACTGCAGTTATCCTTCTGTGCTCCCCACTTTCAGTGCTGCCTACCATTGCAGCTTCACATCATGCAATAGGAGGAGAAATTACCTCTTCTGTCCAATAGACAACATCCTGTAATGTTTTTTCTAGCCCTTCTCATTTGCCATTAGCTGCAGTAGCCAACACCAGCAATGTTAACTCATACTGCATCCTGGAGTCCTGGCTAGGTATTTTCTTGACCCTTCCTTTTCTTCCTCCATTTAAGAAGACCACAGGATGCCAACTTTAACAGGACCTACTACAATGGAACACTGTCCCAAAGGGAGAGTAATTTTCCAAGTCAAAAGCAGTTCCTACACCTGCTAGATGTGCTAAATGCAAGCATCTCAGAGCTAAAAGTCACTGGTAACGTGATCTTAAAGAAAGCTACTCCTTTCAGGGGAGATTTCTAAGAGTTAAGTGCTAAATCGTTTCTTCCTCCCTCCACCATATCAAACTAGGTGAGGTGAGACTCCCTTGTTCTATGGCACACACCATGATCAGGTTACAGATTAAACATGGAATTATTCAGATGGCAGACTAGTTAAGTTTAATAGCCCAGAAAACTAAACAGACTTCCATTTTCAGCCCCTTTGTCAAGACCTTTTCCAGCAAAACCCCAGAGAGAAACCCACCTTTCTCACCCCATCCTCACCTCATTAGGACTCAGTGCTCTACCCCAGAAACACCACGAGCCCCTCCAACCCCTCCCTCAATCTACCACCCACTGCTCATCCCCAACCAGCCAGAGTTCACCCCTTCTCCACCTCCAACCCCATTTCTCCATCAC